AAGTAAAGAAGAGTGAGGCTAGGATACCACAAGGACGGGGGTCCCAAGTAAAAAAGGAGAATTCTGAGGATAAAAGAAAGCAGAACAAAGAAAAGGGAGATGCAGAGAAGAATAAAGATACAGAAAAAATAGAGGCCAAAAACCAGAAAGGTGTTGAAAGAAAGGACAAAGTTAAAGGAAAGAAAGGATCAGAAGTCAAGGGTAAAAAAGCAGAAGGTTCAGTAAAGGGCAAAGGCAAGTAAAAGAAGGAAGTACAACAAAAAGGTGGAAGAACAAGGGTAAATAAAAGGAAGGCCCATAAGTCAACTGATTATTATGATTCCCATCCTCCAGATACAAGTTATATCCCAGCCACTGCCTAAATGGATCATAATTACATCTGCAGAGTTTCTGCTCTTTACATGTTTCACCATTTTTAGACCTCTTAGCCATAACCTCAGGTTCCAACTGTTTTGTAAGTTGTTACTTATTTATTTAGTCAAGAAAGACTGGATATTTTCTGAAATAAAACATTTTGATTAAAGAAATGTATAATAATTTCCTTTGAGAAGTATTATATCTTTGTGATAGTCTAACCAGTCAACCAACCAATAATTCCTCATGGTGGCCTAAAGTTTGCAAAGCACTGTTCTAGCACTAAGGGGTATACAGAAAAATGTAAGTCAGAGTCCATGCAATCAAGTAGCTTGTAACATACATAGTTATGTGTAAAAAGTAAAATATGTGTCGAAATGTAGTTTAGATGGGCAATATAATATGAGTTAGCATAGCATACCTTTTGAGATGAGAGGTTAAAGGAGATACCTTCATGAGGAAGGGAGTTGGGTATATGACATGTCTCAAAAGATGGTAAGATGTTGGTATGCTGAGTGAAGTAGAAAGAATAGAAAAATGGAAAAGGGATTAAAGACTGCCATAAAATGCTCTAGGGAAGTAGGCAATTTCATTGTTGCAGCAGGCTCATGAGAGGCATTCTGGGGTACAATTTTGAAAAAGAAGCTTAGAAGAAGATTTTGAAGAGATTTGAAAAACAAATCAGGAATTTATATTTTACTCATCGGGCAACTGAAAGCCTTCTGGGATGTTTGAGAAGGAGAGTAAAGTGAATAAGATTGCATCACAAAAAATATGTTAATCTTGTGATGGTGCAAAATAGATTGAAGAAGAGAAACATCATAGGTAGTAAATCTAGTTAAAAGGTACTTGGAGCAGTAAGTGATGGAAAGAGAATAAATGGAAGGGATAAATATGAGATATTTTTTCAAAGAAGAATCACTACTTCATGATGACTGACTACATGTGAGTAAGGAAAAGGGAAAAGACAAAACAATTGACACCATAACTTTTGAAACTGAGTGATAGAAAATCAATAACAGGGGCCAGCCCCGTGGCCTATCGGTTAAGTGTGCATGCTCCACCGCTGGCGGCCCAGGTTCGGATCCCAGGTGCACACTGACGCACCGCTTGTCAAGCCATGCCGTGGTGGCGTCCCATATAAAGTACAGGAAGATTGGCATGGATGTTAGCCCAGGGCCAGTCTTCCTCAGCAAAAAGAAGAGGATTGGCAAGGATGTTAGCTCAGGGCTGATCTTCCTCACAAAAAAGAAAATCAATAACAAACTAGGAGAGACAGGAGAGAATAACAAATTGTTGAGTTTAGGGGGACAAACAATAACACTTGTCATTTGAGAGGAGTCTGGAGTCAGCCCAATGGAGATAACAATTGAAGCCATAAGAGTAAATGAGCTCCCCAAAGGATAAAGTACAGAACTAGCAAAAGCAGAGGTCCAAGAGCTGAGCCTGTTATATGTAATAAGGTGAAGAAGAAAATTAACTAAGTTATGGGGAGATACAAGGAAAACCTGTATAATGAATGTTCTGATAACTAAAGAAGATGAGAGTTTCAAAAATAAAGGATGATTAAAGAATAGCCAAGACTTCAAGAAGAATAAGGACTGAAAGAGACCATTGTTGCTATTTGGAGATGGCTGATGAACTTGTAAAGAGAGGTAGCTAGGAGAAGGAATTTAAGCAGGCAGAATATAGAAATACAAGTAAGCAGCTGCAGGATGTGCCTTCCAATAAAACCAATTTTAGACCACTTTAAAAGTACAGTTTTTAGGAATTTTATTTCTCTATTACTCTGTTCCGTGCTGGTTAGCTGGTTACATTCAGTTCTGTCATGGGATATGGATAAACTAGAGCGCCTTCAGAAGAGAAAGACTATGATGGTGAGGGGACTCAAATCATTTCAAGTAAGCAGGAAGGTCCACAGTTTCACCCGGGGAAAAAAGCACACAAGGAGACAATGAGAATTATTTTCAAATATATGAATGTTCATCATAGATTAGAATATTTTGTATGGCCCCGAGGAAATAAGACCAGTGAATGAAAGGTTCAAGGTAACAGATTTTTATCTCAGTATACGGGAAAGTGGGATGCCTAAAAGAGTTTAAGCCAGAGTTGAAGACTGTGTGATCTTGGTGCTGCAGAGGAGCTTCTTAGGAATCTGCTGACTGGTGAGAATAGATTATCTTTATGGTTCCTTCCAAATACGAGTCTATAATTCAAAGTATACAATTCTTTTGCACTAACTAGATGTCTTCTGAGGAACATTTTCAAACAATCTAATCTAATATGCTAGGTTTCTTTAGAAAGTTTGACCAAAAAAAAAGAAAACTCATATTTTAGTCTCTGCCCAAAGTACAAAACATTTAATAAATGGTTCATGCTCCCTAACCACAAGCTGAAGAGAGCAGCTTCCACAGCTTCGAGCACAATCCAAACCGCTGTGTAGACCCTACTGTGTGCTTGCAGACCTGCTTCAGGTGTAGAAGCCTAAGTTAATTTTAAAATTTGGAAAACCCTGAGGCCTTCAATGAACCATATAGATTTAGCAAGACTCAACTGCAAAAAAAAAAAAAGGAGGGAAGGAGGGAGGACAAATATTGAATATGAAATTTCTATATGGTAAGTTACTTCCATGTCTCTGGAATACACATATTTAGAGATTTTGCTAGCCTTAGTTGACTTAGCTCTTGCATATATTATGCAGGGAAAAATGTGACCAGAAGGCTTTTCATATAGTTTAAAATATTTATGTTTTCATGGTCCTTATATCATTTTTCTATAGTTCTCTCTGGTCCATCTGGCAGCTCGCTAGTAGGTTTAGAAGGCTGTGACAAATGCAGCTTCTCTCAGATTTCTGCTAAGAAGCAGGGACCCTATCAAGGCAACTACTGAAAAACAGTAGACAGACTTTAACAATCCAGCTCAGCTAATGCCGTATCTGACTGTATATTCCACTGAACCAAGGATTCAGAAGAGATGAATCCATACAAACCTCTCTGTATCTTCTCCATAACTTCTAACTTGCAGTCAAAACATTTTCATTCCCACTAGATCTTTGAAGGCAAGTCAGTCATACAATAGGAAACTCCAACTATGAAAACTGTGTGAACCATTCTCTAAAGGCCACCAAAAAAATAGGCCAGTTAAAAATAATTGTTGGGGCCAGCCCCAATGGCTTAGTGGTTAAAGTTCAGTGCATTCTGCTTCAGCGGCCCAGGTTCGGTTTCCAAGCACGGAAACACTCCACTCGTCTGTCAGTGGCCATGCTGTGGCGGCAGCTCACGTAAAAGAAGAGGAAGGTTGGCAACAGATGTTAGCTCAGGGCAAATCTTCCCCAGCAAAAAAAAAAAAAAAATGTTAATCCTCCCTTAAAGATACAGGTATGGAAATCTTAAAGGACCCCCAAAAAAGGAAGGGGAAAAGGGTGAGCTATCAAAATGGCACCATATGTAGCAAAATGATGCAAATATTAGGCAAATGAATAAGTATATGTACTTTCAAGGTAGTTTAGATATAAAGATAGGAATGTGGTAGTTAATAGAAAATCAATGGTGGTAAATTTTGTTTTACAAATAAGCTAATACAAATGTCAAATGCCCTGCTCACAAAAACAAGCAGAAACATACATCAAAACTTCAAGTCAGTTGCTAAGAGAGTAGATCTTAAAAGTTCTCATCACAAGGAAAAAAGAAAATTTGTAACTATGTGAGGTGATAGATGTTAACTAAACTCGTTATGGTAATCATTTCACAACATACACGTATATCATATTATGTTGTACACCTTAAAATTACACAATGTTATGTGTCAATTATGTCTCAATAAAACTGGGGGGGAAATCAAGTATTACACCTTAAATATATACAATTTCCATTTGTCAATTATACCTCAATAAACATGGAAAGAAAAAAAAAGAATGAGTGGAAGCCTTACCATTAGTCATTTCATGTTTAGGAGAAGAACTTAAGGAAAGAAAAGCAAGAAAGTGAGTTTAGGGGTAACAAAGCTAAATAAAAACTGCAAAGATATTGGGAAATAAACAATTTATGTAAAATCAGTTAGTGAGGTTCCTCTCCCAATCAAAGATTTCCTAGGTTAGAATTGCACTAAAAATGCAATTTCCCATTGCCCCCAAATATCTCTCACTCAAGGTTATAATTGGCATATCTAGGAAGTGAATACAGGGAGCTGGGAAAAGAAAAGAAGTACAGAATTTAAAAACAGGATCCCAAGGGGTAAAAGGATAAACTGAAAAAACGATCAGAATATTCAGTTTTATATTTGATGAAATTCCATTACTCTCCCTATTTAAAACAGTTATGAGCAGGAAAAACAACCAGTGTCCCTACTCTCTACTTGAGAGGTTCCAATCAGTTTTTGAAGAAATATAAGGCTATTTTTCTAGCATTTAAAGAATAAAGATACTCTTATTCATCATCATCCAGAAGCCTAAGCATCTGCCAAGACTGGGAAGCCAAACCTAAAAGATGCCACACTACAGATTATACACATTATAACCCAAGTCCCAAATATATTTTATTTAAATCTTTATTAAATTTCTCTTCAAAAATTAAAAACTCATAATGTTATCAGTGTTAACTTCCCATGAATCTCTCCATATCTTAATCCATGCTCACATAAACATATAGGGTCAAACTATATACATTATTCTGCAAGTTGATTTCCTCACCAAACAATATATCATGTACATCGCTGAAGCATTGGTATAGTGTGTATGAATTGCTGCTTATTCATTTCCTTCAAGACAGGCATTTGGCTTGTTTCCAGGTTTTTGCCGCTAGCCAAATGGTGCTGCAATTGCCAAATGGTGCTGTAATAAACATATTTGTACATGAGGAGAATTTTATTTCTCTAGATTTCCAAAAGTGGTATTATCAGGTCAAAGGAAATATGTATTTTTAATGTTAATAGATATTACCTAATCTCTTTCCCCCAAATTCGTAATAATTTACATTCCAACTAGGAATGCATGAGAGTTGTGTTTTCCCTACGCTCTCT